AGGACCCCGAGCAATCTATGTACAGCTAAGATTTTTAAAAAATCTTAACAAATTACTAAAAAAGTAAAAGATCTGCAAAAAAATAGTCAAAAATAAGCAAAAATAAATTCTAACCTATCTATATATAGCTCAGGTCCTCTTATAATCGACCCGAAATTGAGTACAAACAGCTTGACGAGTTTATTGGCAAAATGCTTTCCTTGATCGGATAAGAGCTCACAGGGACTTTCATGTCAACAAATAATGTCTTCTATAAAGAATGAAGCTACTAACAATGCAAATACATCTAGTATAGCACGAGCCTTAAGCCATTTGGTGAGATATTCTGTGGCAATGGCAATATATCGATTTCTTCTTTTAGTAAAGAGCAGGAGACTGACAAGATCTATTTCAATTCTGTCAAAAAGTTGGCTAATTTTAATAAGGTACAGTGGCTTACGAGTTTGGAGTCTTCCTCTATGTTGGCAGATGTCACATGACTTAATGTATTGCTTAATGTTCTTGCCCATTTGTGGCCAAAAATATCGAACAGAGATTCGTTGAAGTGTCAATAGAGTATTAAAATGTTCTGATAGAGGATCAGAATGCATACTAAAAAGAATAGCTATAATTTCATAGATAATAAGACTCTTAAAAGCCAGTGGGGTGACTCTTGATGTTTTTTGTAAAGTGTTTGGTTGATAATGACGAAATAACAGATCTGATACTGTAAGGATTTTTGCTGTTGAGGTTGTAAATTAAGTCAGAAACTTGGATCACTAAGATACTTAAAATATGTTTAATATTGATTATAGTTCATGGTGAGAAATAAGTGTATAAAAGTAATTGTTAGAATAAATAGTACTAGTTGTATATAATAAATGATGTGAAAAGGGGGTATGAATAGTCAAAATCAAAAAGTTTAAGTTAAATTAATATAGAAATCTTTATCGAATCCTGATGAGTATATAGAATAATATTCATAAGCATAGTGGTCAGACTGTCAACAAATATAATACATGATACAATGAGAAGACTTGGATTTTGAAACCAATGAGTTGACAAGCCAGAAAAGACTATTGGCATTCAAATGATAACAACCTGGACAATGTTTAATCAAGAATTCATACTCTTGCAAGACTAATATCCAATGAGCTAGACATCCCTATAGTAGCTGATAATGTAGTAGAGACTTGAGAGCCGAATGATCTATGATGATAGTAAATCAAAAACTGTAGAGATATTGACGAAAATAAAAGATGGACTAAACAATGGCTAGACACTCTTGTTCAGTCACTGAATAGTTTTTTTTTGCTGGGGTTATGGTTTAGCTAGCATAATAAATCACTCACTCCTTCTTCTAAGGATCTTTTTGAGAAAGAATGGATTATAAGGTAACACCTGACGTATTAGTGAAGAAGAGAAATTCTTGTAAAAAGTCCAGATAAGCCAAGTCAGAAGCTATAATGAGTTTCTCTTTGAGGGTATTAAAAGCCTTCACTTGATTTTCTGTCTATACATATTTGATATCCTTTTTCAACACTCAGTTAAGTGGAGAGGCAACTTTCGCAAAATCTCAAATAAAGTAGTGATAATAGGAGACAAGTCCCAGAAAACCATACAGTTGTCAGAGATTAGTTAGGTAAAGAAATTCTTTACAACTTCTACTTTCTTTAGATTAGTCGATATGCTATTCTTATTAACTATATACCCAAGAAATTTTAATTTATCTTTGGCAAAGTAGTACTTTTTTGAATTCAACTTAAGTCCCACACTCTGAAGATGATTGAATACTTCGGCCAAATGCTGGATATGCTTGTGAAACTGAAAAAAAGATATTGATATCATCTAGATAAACGACTACAAACTTTCCAATGATTTTTCTAAAAATTTGATCTATTAATTTTTGAAAAATCACAAAGTATTAATAAAACCAAAAGGCATCACATTGAACTCAAAAATGCCAAATTGTGATATAAAAGTAGTCTTTTTCTTGTCATAAGAATTCATCTCAATCTGCCAGTAACCATTAGCAAGATCAAAAGATGTATATCAGAAAGAATGCCAGAGAGTGTCTAAAAAGTTGTTGATTTGGGGTAGGAGATAACTGCTCTTCTTTGTAATGGTATTGTAGAGTTGGGATCCTTTGAATATTCATTAAGGCTATTTAATAAAATTTGCAGATTTTAATAAATTGTGAATAATAATGAATGAATATAAACATTTTATTGAATATTCATATAAAATTCACAGTTATTTAGAGAATTTGCAGATATTTATAGAAAATTTGCAGATATTCAAAGAATTCATGAATATTCAGAGAATTTGCAAATATTCTAAGAAAATTCGCAAATATTTAAAGAATTCACAAATATTCATGGATATTTCGAATATTCATAGAGAATTTGCGAATATTCAAAGAATTCGTGAATATTCAGAAAATTCATGAATATTTATAGAGAATTCGCAAATATTTATCGAACAATATTATGATTTTTAACCTACCCAGACTTAACCTAATTTATATCCTCCAACTAACCTAACTCTAATTTTTAATACATATTTTAACTCACCCAACTGTTGATTCTAAAGTGCATATTGGTCCCAAGTGCATGTACTTATAGTAAATTTAGCAAAAGATTAATAAATTTATAATAGTTTTATCAAATTAAACTTACTCTACAAGAAACCGGTATAATAAGTTTCTTAACTTTTTCACACTTTATAAATTAAGAAACATATACCAGCACATACTCTATAAATATGCTTCCTTATAATTTTCTCTCTTTAAGTACATATCATTTAACCAATAAATTATCTATAAATGCATATCTCCAATAACATGTACTTATAGAGAAATAACTATACAGTAATACTTTCATAAATACATTCTCTTTAAGTGTATATCATTAAAGTTAGATTCCAAGTACATATACTTATAGAGGTTTACTGTATATGTAATCAATTTAAAATTAACTAAATAGTTCGAGTCTACTAAATTTATCGATTTTCTTTATATTGATACAATATTTTTTTTAGTTCATACCAGGGCACAAAATTCTATTGTAAAATACCAGAGGTTTAGTTTATTTCTAGCATAGTTTTAAAGGTGCTAGAAATTTTATAATATAAATATATTATAGGAGTTTCTAAATTTCGTTTACTGAAAAAAAAGCAGATTACAATATGCTAAAATTTTGTGCTCTGGTTTATACCTCTATAATTATCTTGTGTTATGAACTCAAATTTAATTTATCAGATCTTTCTTACATTAATCTGAATATAATATCAAAAAATTAATATAAATTATTTTATTATATAGTAGTATTAAAACTATTATTATTATCTTGGCATCATCTCGATTTAATTTATTGGATCTTTTCAAGTTTAATTTATTAGATTTCTCTTATATCAATCTAATGTAATAAAATTTAATTAATATAGATTATCTCAGGGCACAAAATTTTGGCATATTGTAACTACTTTTTTTTTTGGTAACTGAAATTTAGTAACTCTTGCAATATATTTATATTATAAAATTTCTGGCCGCTTTAAAATTACGCCAGAAATAAACTGAACCTCTGGTATTTTACAATAGAATTTTGTGCCCTGGATTATCTTTATTACAGTATTAAAACTACCGTAATTACTTTGTGTTATAAGAACACAAATTTAATTTATCAATTTTTTTTACATCAATCTAATATAATAAAAATTTTTTATCAAAAAATTTAATATAAATAAAATCTTTGATAGTAAAATAATAGTACCTTAGTTATGTCTTCATCTATCTCTTCAGATAAATCTTCTTCTACGTTTACCTCTTCAGATACATCCTCTTCTACATCTTTATTAACAAACAACTAGCCAAAAAATGTAACAAGATCTAAAGGAGGAATCAAATTAATTAGTTGGGTTTGGAAATGGGGTGAATGTCAAGAATTACCAGACAAAACTGGAAGAATTTTCATATGTACTAACAAGTTATTAAATGGAAAAGACTGTACTTCTAAAATTATAACAAAGAGTCTAACTAGAAATATTATTAATCATTTAGCAGTTATGCATTAAATATTCAAAAATACACCCTTACCTACAAGATCAACTAATTAAGATGAATCTTTCACAACAATGACCAAAGAATGGCAAAAATATCTTGAACAACTTCTCTATGAGTAGTTTATTCTAGAGACTTTGCCTTTATATATGCTTGAATCGCCTTCATTTTAACATTTTATTAATAAATCTATTTCGGCATTCAATATTCCTAATTGTAAAAAATTTAAAAGAAAAAATTTTGAGTCTAAAAATTATGTTAGTTTAAAAATTTCAGAATTATTAGAGTACGAAGCAAGTTGGATATCATTTACATATGATTTATAGACCTCTTACTCTAAGATGAAATTTTTTGAAGTCACTGCATATTTTATAACGTCTAATTTTGAGTTTAAAGAAGTTATCTTGATGATTAAAAATTTTCCACATTCTCATACTAGCGATCATATTTAAGAAGCCCTAGAAATAGTTATAACTAAATGAAAGTTAAACAATAAAGTATTTTGCTGTACTATCGATAATAGCACAAATATGAAAAAAGCACTTAATCAAATTTCTTGGCTTAAAAGGGTCTCGTGTGCAGCGCATACTATTTAATTAGTAGTTAAAAAAGAAATGCTACTAGCCAAAGTTCTAATTGCAAGAGTGCGAAGACTAATTAACTTTTTTACCTGTCCTAAGCAATGCGAGAGATTAATTAATATTCAAAAGCAATATGTTATAAGCACAAATATTGAAGATGAATCAATAAATGAATCACAATTAGTTTTTTATCATGCACTTACTGATTGTGAAACACAATGGTCAAGTACTTTTAATGCATGAGGTCATTTGTTAATTTTAAAACCATTCATTGATATTCTTTCTACAACAATAAATGTAAAGAATGCTGATGTGGAAACAAAAAAAAGATAAAAAGCAGTTAGAAAAAATTAATCTAACTTCTGAAGAATGGTTATTTATCGAAGAAGTTATACCAGTTCTAGGTAGTGTTTTATAAAAATCGATTATATAATCAAGTTGAGATTTACTTATTTGTGTGAGTGATACAAACCCAAAAAGGAAAAAACTAATATATTTTTTTATTTGCATGTGAGTTATAACTTTAGAGTTATGGTTGAAGTTAGAATTAGTATATTCTAAAATTTGCAAGAATTTTTTTATTAGAATATAAAAGTGATTTCTTAGGGTGTTCTCAAGCACCTCGCTCAATGGATCGAAGGCAAAATTTTAATTAGTCGGAAATTGAATAAATTAACCAAGTGAGTTACCATTTTGATAAACAAATCAGCAAGATATAAACCACCTTTTTTCTTCAAAAATTTACCATTGATGAAGGTCGCTCAAGCATTACTTATAATTTTTTACTTATCAGAAATAATAAACAATAAATTCTCAGCAAATTTCTAATCGATATGAAAAAATGTCACTTTATTTTTAATTTTCGAAGCTTTTAAAACAAATAATTGATACCTTGATCTTAACGTAATAAATACAACCTATCTTTTAACCTTTAATCAAATCGTAATGAATACTGCTATTCATTTTTGTTCAATCAAATTTAAATATTAGTATTAATATTAATATTCACAAAAAAAAAAAAGGTCTTATTTCTTGTTGCTGTAATGCAACTTTCACTAATGGTGATTCTGTTGCTGCAAGATTTAAGTTGATAAATCGTTAAAGACGAATCCGACACAGCCGAAATTAAAGTTTGGCAACCAGTTGAGCAGAAAATTTTTTAGTATTTTAGGTGGCATAACGTAGATCACAAAAAACAAAGAGTATGCTCAAGCATTTAATTCTATAAATGTCGTCATTGACTGAGATGCTTGAGCGTTATCATGATCATTATTTAATTGATTGATTGAGATGCTTGAGAACACCTTTAGGCAGAATTTGAGTTACTAGCTATTTTTTGAAAAAGTTTTCGTTTCATATTACACTACTGATCTTGCAATCTATATAAGAAAATTTTCTTATTTGGGGTTATATCACTGGCGCAAAGAAGTGTATATAATCAAATTGACAACTAATTAATAATTTATTAAATAACTCAATCATTTAATTAATTAATTAGTTGTTTTTAATATACTTGATTCCTGTCAATATCAACCTATTTAAATTGGTTTTATATTTATTAATTGATTTTTTAAAAATTTTGGCCAACTAATTGATTGTATCTTTTGGTTTTTAATTTGAAACACTAATTTTAGGACTATTTGCTGAAACTATTGAAAAGCTGGAGGGAAGTCAATATTCGACTATAAGTTATATATACTCTGTGATTCAAAAAATTAAGTCAAGATTAAGTTGTTCTTTTGACCCTATTAATGAAAATAATGATAGTCAAGATAAATTAAAGGATGCATTTGATGATCTACAATTTGAAGACGAGGAGGAAGATGATGAACCAAAAGCAAAGCAAAGAATTAAAATTAATAATTTAGTAAATACAATTGGATTAATTGATGCAATTAAAGGTAAACTTTATCATGCAATAAATGTCTATTATAAAGATTTAGAGCTTGATGGTCTTGTTGCTTTATTTTTTGGATTCACATTGGAAAAATCTATCATTTATAACTAAATCAAAAAAAATTGAAACAATTAATAAATTATGTCACCTATATAAAGAAGAAAATTTCAAGTACCATATAACAAGCTTATCTGTAAGAAAGGAAAGTGAGCTCTTACAAAAAAGATTAAAAACAAAATTATATAGTGAAAGCTTGTTTGGTGAAAGTTCATTTGATTCTTGTGGTTCTGGTAATGGTGACAAAATTGATAGATATTTGGTATTACAAGAAATTTCTAAAGATCAAAATGCTCAAACTTGGTAGAAAGATAATAAAAAAAATTTCTTTGTTCTCTTTCAACTAGCAAGAAAGTATCTTGCTATGCAAGCAATGTCAGCTGCAAGCGAGAGGCTTTTTAGTGATGTAGGCAATATTATGACAATTAAAAAAACCTGTTTGAAATCGGAAGTGTTTGAAATTTTAATTTTTTTTAAAAAAAATGGCCTGTTAGTAGGTGGAATATTTGATTACAATAATAATAGTTATGAATAATTGTTTGAATTTTGATTTTTTTTTTTTTTAAATTCCAACTTGGAATTTTTTTTTTTTTTTTTTTAAATTCCAACTTGGAATATTTTTTTTTTTGAATATTCAGTTTTGCATCAGAATAGATTAAGTAAAATAGAATATTTATTGTAAGTGAGCGTTAAAAAAATATATATAAATAAGATTATATATTTCAATAAATATGTATGATACAGAAAGTGATATGTTGTAGCAGTTGAAGTTCCCTTCCCTGATGTGTTACTATCCAATATAGCACAATATTTGATTTATTTTATTTTTATTTTGTTTATTATTTTTATTTTTGTAAAAATAAAACAATTATTAAAACTGGAATAAAAAGAATTATCGGGTAAGAAAAATAGGGTAGAAAAAAAGAATAGTATTGATAAAAAAAAAAAGTATCGATATTTTAATTTATAAAAATTATGCATATAAGTAGCAGAAATTACCTTGAATAAAAGTAACTCTCAGAGTTACAAACAACCTTCGAAATAAGAGTGTTTCTACCCTGCTATACTATTTTCTTGAAAATTGGTTGTCACTTAGTATTTTCTTGTCCCTGTGACTATTGTCTATTGTATTGTCGAATTTAGTAAAAGAAAAAAACTGCATTAGTAATACAAGTCCTTATATATTAAAATCACACCTAATTAAGTTCGTGATCAATGTCATTGTACCTGAGTTGTGATCCTGTGATACTATAACCTTGTACGATATTCTGATTGGTCAATTTTGATCACAAAACCTAGCTACAGTATCTACAAAATAAAGAATTTAGAATATTAACAAAGGTATTCAAAAAAGTAAAGTACTTGTTAAAGAAATAAGAAAGCACTTATCTGAGTTCAACACTATTTCTGCTTAATAATTAACTCTAATTACTTAGACCAAGTCTTTTTACACTTTGATTATTGCCTTACCAATATTAGGGTTTGGTTAAAGTAGTTTTAGTGTACTGGTTAAAGTATTTTAATTAGTAATAGTATTTTGAGTAGTGAGTTATTATACATTGACCCAATAACTTTTCTGACGCAGCTCATATTACTTATACTTTTCTAACATACGTAAAACTTTTATACAAGGTTAATTATTGTTATTGTTATGTTTGATCTTAATTTTTTTTTTGTTTGTACTTCAGATTTAAAGTGTGCTAATGCTAATCTAGTGCTTCTAGATCCGGTTTGGGTCTGGTTTGGGTCCAGTCTGGTCTAGGATCGAACCAGACTCAAACTCTAAATTTTACTTTCAAACCAAACTCAAACTTAATTTGAGTTTAGTCCGGGTTTAGTTTGGTTTGGTCTGAAGTTTGCAAACTAGTTTGAGTCTGAATATACTAGTTTGCGAATATTTATTTTTAAGATCATTAGTCTGCCCACAATTCTAAAATCATGAATAGTACTTCACAAAATCAAATTTTAAATCAAATATTTGATCAAATTTTTAAAAAATTTGATCAAATATTTGATTTAAAATTTGATTTTGTAGAGTACTAGTTCAGCTTTAACTTAGTTAGAGAATATCTGTATACAATTAAGAATTGTTTTGGAACTGAGATCAGACCAAGGTTAGAGTTAAAATATTAATGAACTGGTCTTATCAGAGACCAGAGCAGATTGAACTGTGGGATCCTAACA